TTTGACAGTTTTCTGCATAGTGTCATGTTTGACATGATTTCATGCTGTACTTAGAACCAAAACTGCATTGGCTGGGAAGGGGTTAGGAAGAGGCATATCTGAGTTATACCACTTTTAACCAATGTATCTTATTTATTTCTGTTGACCATATTGGGGGGAGATAGCTGGCTCATGCTGTGATATCCTGGAGAGCAGAGACATGTGCATCCCTATTTCTTAGTACAGTCGCATATAGGTCCTTGATTATTGCTGTATTCTCTATCCTAAAGCAGTGCTGGGCACATGATATGGCTCTATAAATAGTTATTGGATGGGTACATGATTTTAAGAATGAATAAGAAAAATAAAGCAGGACACACGATTGTGTTGATGAATTATCCACACATCAGAACAAGGTTGACGAGGATTGATTAAAGCTAACATTGTTTTCTATTTAAATATTGTATTCTGTTTGACTTAACAAACTGGTTTATAGTGTTGGCTTAGTAGGTGAGTGATATTGCCCAGGAAGTGTGGTTTAGAGGTTGGAAAAGAGTTATTGAAAACAGTCCTTGGACTTAGTTGTGGCAGAATTTGTAGTATTTAATTTAATACTTCACTAGTGTCCTAAAATACATGTTATACCGAAGGTTTTAGAATAGGTTCTGTAGTTAAAACTGCATCCTTAGAGCTGGACTTTCTGCCGGTAGGGGTGTGCATTCTAAGGGGAAGAAAGGATTGTGGTGTGAAAGGAACAATTGCAATGTTTCCTTCATTTTGAAGTGTGTTTTTCTCACGCTTTCATATTACAATCAGAATATCTCTTAAAATTTGTGTACATTTAATGTAGTAGTACTTACTCTTTTTAATTTTGTTCCAAAAAGCTGTTATTAAGTCACTGGTATCTTATAATTGGTACCTTCATAAAATGGATAAAATGGTGGTATTTCTATTTCTTTATTGTTAGGTTTGGACTATTTTCCTTTTTTTTTCTCTTCCCATTTTGAGGATATCGATGATTGTTTGGGTACTCGGTGCTAAGAAACTTGGTATGCAAAAGCCCTGCTCAAGAAGAATCGAAACTTTTTCCCTGCTGAGTATCATTAACATTTTAGGAATTTGTATATAACAGTGTGGGGAAGGGACAGCATTTCACCAGGAAGTAGCAACTCCATTATCTTTCAGGAAGGGCTGAGCTCTTCATGATTAGGAGATCTCTGAATGATTACATATGAGAGAAGTGGCTTTAAGTCACACTCCTGTTTTAGCTTTCCTTGTTCTCTGTAAGTCTTACCCAACTTCAGAGCATGGTAATTTAATTA